TGGCAATGGATCGCAACCCTCAGTGTTGCGCCCTTACCGGATCGGGACCGGCAACGGGATCGCAACCCTCGGCGTTGCTCCCGCACCTCGCTCAGCCAGTGAGCGGCCAGTCCGCATGTGGGATCCGAACCCTCGGCGGGAGCGCCGCCGCACTCCCAAGCAGCGCACTGCAGCAGTGCACCACCGGGCCGGCCCTTGGATTTTCTATGATAGGAATTTAAGGAAATTTGAGGATGCAAAGGTGGTAACTTTAATCAATTTTTCATTAACATTCACTATGAAGATAATAAGCTATAATTAGATTGTCTTATATAATCTCAATATATAAAATAGCACTATTATGGAACTTAAAAATTAAAGCTACTGCATAATTAGTGGCTGTATGGCTAAGGCTAAGGCTAAGGCTAATGTCTGGAATCCTGCCCACAGCGCCAATTGTAGCGCTCTTAATCCTGTTTGTGATGCCAATTGTCTGGCTACACGACCATGCCAGTTGTCGGGCTCTTTTGCCTGCTGGTAATTCTGTACCAACTGGGCTGACTGTTGAGCTAGGGCTGGGTCTGGAGCTCCCAGACCCGTCAAGCCCATTAACAGACTGGTCACAAACCCTTCATAGGGTGGGGTGAGTCACCAGACCCCACACATGCCAGGCTGGGTCACCAGACCCTTTTGTGCAGGTCTATGAGCTAGGTAACCAGCCAAAAGATCCTTGGAAGCCATAGGTTGGAAAGCATGGCTGCGCCCGGCAGATGCTGGAGGCAAACACCCACCCGCCTGCTTCACTAGAACTCTCTCTCTCTACGAAGAACACAAGAATAGCAACAAAAGTAAAAGGATACATTGGGGCCTGCCCGGTGGTGCACTGGAGAGTGCGGCGCTCCCGCCGAGGGTTCGGATCCCATGTGGTGACCGGTTCCCGCTGAGTGGACAGACCTCCTTTCCCTTGGCTGAGGGAGTTTCCAGAAAGGCTGGAGCTGAGCACTGTGCCTTCAGAGTCGAGAATGCCACAGCACTGAGCCGACTCCTCCTGCCGCCACCTTGAGGTCGCTCAGTGGAGAGAGGTGGCTTTTCATGTTGCAGACCA